GAGCTTTTATAAACGTTAAAGATTTGTGAGACTTTAATACAAATGTGGCATCACTGATTTTACTAATTGTACACAGCCGACATAATTCCGAAAAGGAATTGTGAAATCCATATTGCATCATGTGAAAGGTTCCATTCTTTCAGAGATGAGAACATACAAAGCCAGACGATCATGTTCGACGACTAGCTCAAACCACGTTCCTTCCTTTCGTCATATTCCACTTCTTTGGCTATTTTTACTATTACTTAGTAATCGCTTTCGCAGTTATCAATAATTTTTAATTGACCTGTACTATTTTTGTAATCGTGTGATAAAAGTACTCTTTGCTCAGGGAAGTCGAGATATATACAACCCAGACAATTTATGGACCAGACCGGGAATCGAACCCATTGCCTCCAGCATGGTCTTGCTTTATAGCTGCGTCCATTTATCTTTTGAACTATGGAAGGTCACTATTTCGTTCGTTATACGTTACGTCAAATTCGTATTTAACTGTCATTTTGACGCATCTTTTCAATAACGCCCTCAAGTTATGTTATTCGGTTTGTTCTGTACTATTTAAGTTTTATAGTGTTCTTGAAGAATACATGAAAATCTTAAAAAAAACTTAAACTCGTAGACTGAGTAAAATTTGTCTCGATTTGTCTTCATATTCATAAATCAGGGACTATTTTACTTCAACCTGACTCCACTTTCTACCAAGGGGTAAGACAGCTCCTGAGCTCCTGAGTAATTTCAGAGTTGCTTTTGAGGCACCTCGAGTAAATTACATTGCTCAGCGAGAAAGATCACTGTCATTTGCTTTCTCACTTTTCGCATCACAGCAACATATGGAAGTGCGAAGCCGAAAAGCTACTGTCAAGCAAAACATCAACAAAAATCGGGGCTTTCGGCCTGCAACTCCAGGCGAGTATGATTGCGGTTCTGAACTTTCGGTACCTAAATTTCCATCGGTTCCCAGCTTCCGGGATGGCATCCGGATTTATTATGAAAACGTGCGTGGGCTGAGGACTAAAATCGACTCGTTTTTCTTGGCTGTTGCGGATTGATTTGATCGTACTGACGGAAACGTGACTGGATGACCGGATCTATTCATCGCTACTTTTCGGATCACTTTATTCCGTCTTCAGAACTGACCGATCTCCCATGAACAGTCAAAAATCGTGCGGTGGAGGCGTTCTGCTTGCTGTCTCAACAAGACTAAGCAGCTACCCATTTCCAGTCTACTGGAACAGCTCTGGATTGTCGTGGAATTTCCACAACATATTCTCAGTATAGGCGCTGTCTACCTGCCTCCTGACCGAAGAAGCAACTACACGATCATCCGTTAGATTATGGAATAGTTAGGCTCGATTTCGTCTCGATTGTGTCCCCGCTCTTCCACTCTACTGTTTGGTGGGCTACAACCAAGCTTTTGGACAGATTTAACTTACACGAGTTTACTCAAGAAAACACTTTTCCGAACCAAATCGGACGATTGCTAGATCTAGTCCTGGCATTCCTGATTCCGCATTACCAGGTACTTCTACTTCTTCACCGGTCGAGCCACTGTCGTCTTTGTCGTATTAGATGCTAGATTGTTGCTTCTACCATCGATCTGTGTTCCGAAAATATCCGGAAATATCTTAACACATAGTCGATGAAGAGAATCGATCAGTGTAGATAGGACCTATTGAAAAGTGACGAGAGAATTCTATTTTGTTTACAAACAGGATTGACGTCTAATATGTAAACGTGGTAAACGGAGTAAACCGAGAAGTAAACAGATATAAAAATCGATGAACGTCGATTAAATTTTGAGGCACACTGAGTTACTCGCTGCAAAAAAGCAACTCAGAGTAAATCTGTCTCACCCCTTGCTTTCTTCGATTTTGAATGAAATCCTGCATGACATTGATTTAAATTTTGGCGAATTAGGTTTTGCACCGTCGGGGTCAACCTCAATCTGATGACAGTTCAGTGGTACTGTTTACGTGGACTTAGTCGTTTTTTCCTTGGGTAGATTTTCTCGATAATTTTTCAGACTGCAGTGAGATGTAAACCACACTTCAAGAGCAAATTTTCATTACGTCGAATGTAACAAAGGTAAACAAAGTCGAGCTATCAGTGTCAATCGATGCTCTTGCTATTACACTATATACTGCCCGAATATAGGATCACATCCAATTTTTAAATTTATTTACCAGTCGAATTGCTTTTTGACGTAATCACCTTCCGATCAAAATAGTTTTTGATATTACTTAAGTCATCCGATTTAAGTAACAGCACTGAGAAACCCGTGAAAAGTGTACTTTCGTCGTTTCGCTTTCTCATTATTAAAGTGAATAAATCGAACTGTTTGTTGCTAAGATGATTTCGGTGGCCCTAAATGATGAATGGGCTGCACGTAAGGAGACGTAATTGATAATTCTCCCGAATATCCTGTTGAATACACTTTGACTTAAGTAACAATAGGGGCCACCAAACGACGTATAATAACTTTTGACTCAAAAACCAGTATTTCTTAGCATGAAAGCTAGCGATTTGCCTTTGTATGATTAAAACCCGGCTGAATATGTTAAACATTGCTATCACTATGAGATTATATGTGTTTAATTGGAAATAGGAATAACTTTTCGGTCATCAAAACAAAACTTTATTTTTCTCGGATTGGTGCGAATGTTACTTACGACATAATGAAAATTTGCTCTTGACTTCTGCATTGTCCACGAGCAACATCCTTTCACCGACAATTTTCAAGTTAAAATTCGGAAATTTTAGAATTTGTTTTTTCGAAAAAACGACTAAGTGCTTGTAAACAGTACCACTGAACTGTCAAAAAGGTTCAGCCTATTAACACTGAGTTCATTTGTGACGTCACGCAGCAGAACCTAATTATTCACAAGGCTGGTAAAATCGAAGTAGGCCGCGGTGCTGAATTGACGTATTCTTGTTTTGCTGCGAGATTTTTTCGGAAAAATTTATACTCAATTTTGAAATATCTAATAAGCCTAATGTGAAGCGGAATTGTAAAAATTGTGTAGTGAAATTGTAAGTGGACTGCGTGACGGTGACCAATTGGTCTACCACTTCTTTCAGTTGCTTGCGAATAGTGGAATTCAGGAAGACAGCAGATTGATCCAGCGCTGACGCACAGGTAAGTTATGTATAAAAAAAAAAACAATCAATTAACTGATGCTCATTAAATATGCGTCAATCAAACTTTTGTTAGATTGATAGTTTCAGTACATTATCAGTAGAGCTATCACCGTCTAACTCCCGCATTCAAGCTTCTTGCAGTCATAGGTGATGATTGCAGGGAGATTTAATCCATAATGTCACTGCTAGACAGTAGCAGTTGGATTGTAAATACCACGCCACGGTTTACTGCAATTAATACTTTATTCACGAATCCGTTGTTTATTCAACTGACAAATGTTCATGAACTAACTTGGCGAAGAAATTAGAACTATTTACATGAGCCATGCCTCAAAAAAACCGTACCGGTTCACAAAAACTGCACGGTTCACCAAGGTTTTTCAAAACACGATTAAATGTTGTAATTTCTTCGTCACGCTATTTCTTCAACTTTTATCAGACGAATTAATATAGGTTTCATGAAAAAATCACACATGAACCGCGATAAAAAAAAACTGTCCGGGGCACTATCCAAGTCTGAAATACATACATTATGTACATTATGGGGACGCCCGGTTATTAAATCCAAGTATCATTTTTTTTTATTCATGACATTGCAAAGGGATGAATTTATAGGATGACGTCGAGGTTGTCGTATGGATTCCTAAAAAACATATCAATTCAGAGCCCAGCTCTAGCTTATGATTGTGTGACGTCAATCACATGCAATATTTCCCTCGCGTCAACTCGGAAAAACTACATATTTCGCACTCGAAAGCCCACGAAACGTGATCTCGTTATAGTCAGATAAAACGCGTCGCATAGGTATGCCAGTTGCCAAAAGTGGGACACATGCAGTTTCATAAAATTGAAGTTAAAAATTAAATTTATGCCATTTCTCTCTGCAAACTAGCCTCCCCCTCGTCTCGTGCTTGCATACTGGAGGCAGTTTTGTTTAAAAATTAAAAACGAATGCCTGTGTGCGTGGACGCTCTTTCCGTTAATTTGCTTTTTTTCCCTTGGTCCCTTCACTATTTTTTCCGCTAGGAGGATTATCACGACGGTGCACTGGCATGGCAATAGGTGTAGTCCTTTTTTTTTTTTTACGCGAAATGAAAACGATTGACATTCGTTTGTTATTTTTTTTTCTTTCTCCACGGGTGATGTTGATCCAAATCGCCTGCTGTGCGCGGATCGTTGTCCAAAAATTTTAACTTTAAAATGTGGTCTACTTTTTTGTTGTTGTTCAGGTCGGTCATCGGTTTCGGATCGTGCTGACGTTTCGGCTTGCTTGTTATTTTTTGTTTGTTAGAAATATCATAGCATTTTATATAGTGAATAACATACATACACACAGAAAACAAATAACAGAAAAACCAACTGAGCATTCCATTTTCTTTCGGTAAAGTAATACAACATAAAACATAAAATTTGTCACGGTACACAAAACTAAAGAGATAATGAGGGGGGGCGGGTGGATGGTTGATAATGAATAGTGGTGACTGGTTTTGGTTCCTTTCTTTTCGGTGGGAGGTGGAGTCTTATTCTCTAGAATGGAAAATGGCAGCATGGAACAAAAGAAGAAGCGCTTGATTTTGCATCTTTTTTTTCTGCTGTAGTTTCCAGAGCATACAAGAGGAACATTAGAGCAGTGTACTTTTGGGTTAGTTTGTTTTGCTTTGCTTGTCTAATTGTAAGTGGGGTTTGTTGGGCGGGAACGGGAACCGGGAATTTTCTACTAGAGAGTACTGGTACTAATTAAAAATACTATTCCGCAAATCTCTTGTTTCGTAGACTTTTTCTTCTTCTTTTTCTTCGTCGTTATGGGATTTTAGTTGTTGTGGTTCGAGCGAGTTTTGTTAGTTCTGACGATGGACTCTTACCTTGCGTTAAAATGATTCCAAAAAACGCTGCACATTCACACACAGTCACAGATTACAGTTGAGGTTAGTTTAGAAGAAAAAAGAGATGAAGGAGAAAAGCATTTGTGTTAGAATCTGGGTTAAAGCTCATCGCTGTTGGGGAAGGTTCTGATTAGTCTCGTCGGATCAATGGGTTAGTTTTTAGGTTAGTTGGTGCGAGAGCTATTAGTTAACGAGAAGACCAATATGCGCGAAAATTTGCGTGGGGAATAGGAGGATTACTTAACACCGCTCCAGCGCTCAATTCAATTATCGGTAAAATGCGATAATTTCCGAAATTCAATCTAAAATTTATCTCTCTCATTGCAGGCATGATCAGACGCAGGATGGCAAATTGATTGAAGGCTTAAGGCTCGAATTGAGGGGTATTGGTGACTGGAAAAGACCGGAAAATAGGTCGAACGCTGTTCAAATGAGAGTTAATGTCATAAATTATGCACGGAGATTAACTTTGCAAATGGTTGATCCGCATGGGCGTATGAAATTGAGATAAATTTCAATGCATCGAATCTCCTGCCGGGGAACCCAGGTCAGCTGCCCTTGCAATTCGTCAGAGTACTCTGGCATAGCCATTCATGAGATAATGATCCATAATTTATCAGCAGGTTAATAAAAGATGACCCGAGTGCCATTTACTGGCAAAGGAGGATGGGGGAATCTATCGGTCACCGATTTATCGCGGATGAGTCAGGGATTTTGGACAGAAAAGTTAATTTGTTGGAATTTTACAATACGCACTTTGTGTGATTGTGTGTTTGCATCGAAGCAATCCTTGATCAAAACGCAACGGTTGCTTAAGCTGATTTTAGCATTATTTGACCAAATAATGAGCGGTTTTCAGGCGCTGCTATTCAAACAATCGCTCATTTCCAATTCAAACGAGTTGGGAGGAAATTGATTAATCATCAATCAGAGGAAAAACAAATACAGCAACATGTTATGCGTTTGTGATGGCGGTACACGTACCGAGGCATTATACCGCTAATTTGACTGGCGCATAAACAAAAACCTCACCAATAACTTCAGTTATATGTACGCCAATCAGTAGCAATGAGCTTCGCGAATAATACCAACAATGGCAATAATTAAAATATTATCGCATTAAGCGGTGTTATAATCATCGTGCGATTGGTATAAATTAATTTTTTATAACACTCCAAGTACCGAGAGGTGAGTTGGGCTGGGGTTTTTTGAGAAGCTAGGAGGCTGGTTTGGTGGTGGAGGCACCTGGTGCGGGTCCTACCACCTACAAAATCGCTACTTTCCGGAGATTATCGCGAGAGCAGAACCAACGCTGGGAGAATGGGAAGGTTGGCCTGAAGCAGACGGCCTGGCTTCGGTTCAGTTGTTAATATTTAATGTATTAATTTATGATAAATAATGTACGCTTTTGTTTGTGCTATTAATACTATTGGATTTTTTCGTATTTGCTTTATCACCCGGGCGGAAGCTTCTCTTCTGGGTATCACATCTCTTCGGGGCATTTAGCTTGACTCTGATTCAGGTTTTTTTTCTCACTCTGTTAGTAACAATAATATTTATGCGGAACATTTAAAATAAAACAAATGGCAATTAGCAGGAGGATGTATAAATAGACGGGGGCACAACATAATATATTTATATAGTAATCATAACAGCAGTATCCTTTTAACTCTTTCTCTCTCGTATGTATGTCGAAACAAACCAAGAGTGAAACGAACAATGAAACGGACAAAAAAAAAAAAATCAAACACAAACATAAACGCGAAAATTGGTATTTGGCTTTCGTGGGCTCTCTGGGAAAAGCCTTCAATGATCGACGAATCCGCACCTTCGTTTTTCCGTGTGAGCGGTTCCGGGTGCGGTCGTCATTGAAACCAATCGTTTTAATTATTATTTACACACACGTCGGTGTTTGGATAATCGATTTCACCGGTTTAACCGATAAAAAAATCGATACTATTTAAACACGGAACCGAAATCGACGGATTGAAACAAAGAACATAAATACACTGAACCGAAAACAAACAAAAAAACAAAAGAGCGACGATACACTCTTTCTCGTAAAATCGTCACACTTGTCTGCAGTGGACTTACCTTTCGTTGAAGGTTTCCAGCTTGGCGTAGTTCTGCAGGCTGCCCTCGTCGATGAGGAACTTCATCCGTTCGAAGAAGGACGCCGTAATGGCTGGCGGTTGCTTCCGGAGGAGAACGTCGATCGGTTTTGGTGCCGATACGCACAGCTGACTGGTCAGGCACGAGTGGCTTCCGCAGCACTCGGGGTCCTCGCAGTCCACAAGGCCATCTGGAAATTGGATCGGATAGGGGGTCAGTGGGCGAACCTAGTGTGGTGTACGAATGTGCGATCTGGGTTGCTGATTTTTTATTTTTGGCGAATGGGACTTTAGTCTATTGAATTCTGAAGTTTGAACCTTCCACGAAGATAATCTAAAACGCAAGATTCTACGTAACTTTCAGACTATAGCTGTTGTTACATAAGGACATGAGTCACGAAAGGTGTCCGGTCGTATATTGTTTGTCATTTACTCATCAGCCGCGTCGGTGTTCCCCGTGAAAAACGCAAAAATATTGCCACCTATACTGCCTATAATCCCATATGGAAAAAGTAGACATTGAGAAAATGGCAGTCGAAGTTACGAAGTGCGATTCCCATGTAAATATTTGAAACATCATAGTAGATTTTAAATATTTTTTTTTCAGTTGCATTGAAGCTTTCATCCCAAGTAACATTTTGGGTTTTATGAGAGTTCTTTAGACCGTGATTTAGACTTGTAGAGTGCTTTAAAACCTTAATAAAACTTGCAATGCTACCTGGGATGTTATGTTATTTGAGTGAAAAATATGGCACCTCGAAAAGCAGAACTGTAACTGGAACCTCTGGACGATTGAATTTAAGGATGGGACTGATATGCGACTACTTTGCTTGATGAAACAAACTGACTTGATGTTGTTTTCACATTTTTCATGATCAAAGTCCGTAGTTTTATCACATAATATGAAAGTAGATGCCAATTGATAGTGGATAGATAGCGTTGTTATCTCAAACTTGACGAAAATCCATATGGGACTGAGATGTGATTATATTGGAAGTATTATAATATTTTTTTAGATTCAATTATCGTAATGGTATTCTCAAGGGTTGCCATACAAGGGTTAAATTTATCACTTTAAACCAGTGGTTCAAATTAAGTTCTAGATAAACATTTCAAAAGGTCCTATCTGCATTGATCGATTCTCTTCATCGACTTTCTCTTTCGTCAATAACTCAACTGCAAAACCTTTCCCTGTTGTATTTGACGTTTTGGATGCTAGAGAAAGACCTCCTGTATCAAACTATGTGGAAGAAATAGCGCGAAACTGTTTGCACAGAAGTGGTTATGAAAAGAGAAAGTCTATGAAGAGAATCGATCAATCGAGAATTGGTTTTACATTGGCAGGTCTATTAATCTGACTATCTATTGCTATTTGCTAAATTTTCTTGTCGATATGCCACCATGTTATTAAATATAATGCCGCGGATACACTTGGATGACAAACTATAAGCATGAGCGTGATTTGTATAATAATTATGAGCACTTTACAACAACTATACAAAAACTATACAAGCGTGCCCATGGATGTGCTCATAATGTATTATACAAATAATGCTCATGATCATAGTTTGTCGTACAAGTGTATCCACGGCATAACGTCTGAAACGTCGCAATGAAAGTGTGAACTGCAAAATAGAATATTTTCCCATGTTTACTTCGTGCTAGAAAATAAGAATATAATGCCTTATGAGTTACTTTTATCTGTCGCAAAATGTGATCGAAAATATTAAGTAGATATCAGTCACGCCTATTTCGACATTCTGTCTTGAGATTTGTTTACAAATTGTGAGCTGTCAGTGGGGCCCATAATGTCAGCTGGCAAGATGCCTCTCGGAGGCAATACAAAGCAATTATTGAGTGTCAGAAAAGTGCAGTCCAGTTTCCTGCAGTCGCAGTCAGTCGCTAATATTCCTGTTCGTTGGTATTCCACCGGTGTTCTCCTATTCCGCTCAACACAACGTAGGGATGGATATTAGACTGATGCAAAATTTGAAATTTTTGCTCCACAGTGCTCAATCGGTTTTAAATTTAGTCCTGATTAGCCTCCCAAAATTTGAACACATTTAGTAAGAAATTGACTTGGTACAAATCATTTGAAATGTATATGGAAATTATTATGGGAAACCCAAATGTATTGTTCATAACTATCTCAAAATTCACCATTTCATCCTGCTTTTAAAAATGATTACTGTACTTGTAGGAAATTTTCTCAGCTACAACTTTGTTCACGATTACCTTTCGATCAAATGTAAGGACCAAACGTTATTAATGATTTAAGTCACTGATGTCTTACACAGATAAAAATTCTGAATTTTAATAGTGATGTAAACATTCACTCTCGTAAACTTGTATTTCATTTCACGCAACCGAGCAACTTGTAAACAATGTTGTTTTCAAGAATGGGCTTTGGTATATTGTATACAATATTTGCTACATTGCATGAAATGTCTCAGAGCTTTACATGACATTTAATGTAAACTTATATGATATGTGACACTCCATTTATGTGCATCATACTGAACAGAAATTTACACTACTTTTTCGAACTGTGTATGATTATGCTCAATCAACTGTTCAGCAGGCAACATTGGTGTTTCTGGCGCGTAGAATAGAGCAGTGTTGCCCACAAAACAGCTGCTTGATCATGTCATAAGGTAATCAATCTTTTAAGCAATTAATAACTATCTAATTCTACGATTGGCTGAACAATGATCTTCTGCAAAGTTGAAGCTGAGAATTTGTCCCATAAGAATAGCTACATAACTATTTAACTGCAATATGGAAAAAGTCAAAATGACAATGGCGGAGGTTGTTCATTGAAACTTCCGGTCGTAGCATAGTGCTTGCTAAGAGGTGCCAGGTGGTAACCTACTGATTACCTGACGATCGGCCAAATTTGGAAGACGTCTGCATTGAATTGTCTCACATTGTAATATTCCGCCCACTATATCACAATCAATTGCGAGTAGCTGAGCGTAATGGAGACAAGGAAAGCATTTGGTACAGGACCAAGTCTCTCCCGGCTGGCGCCAAAACAATGAACCTGGAAGCAACTGGATCAAGTTGTCATGGGGCACGAAATGATCTTGTTGCATAGCTTGGAGCTGTTGCAATCGAGGAAGGAGGGGGGGGGGGGGTTGGTGCTAATGTTTAATTTGTTTTTGTATAATTTCAGGTGTTAAGGTGGTTCGCTGCCTCGGTGGTTCAGCAAGAATAATATTGAGACATACGGGAATGCAACAAACGTGTCAAGTTAACTGCATTGGTAACGAAAACGGAGGAGCGTACACCTGATGTCACACGCTAAGGTGATGGTAATAAGGTCGGTGATAATATAACATTTACACAAAAGCGGAGATCAAATCAGATTGGTGAACGTACCAAAATTCGAAACTTCGATTAAAACGTGGAATCTGTGCAGCACCAGTGGAGAACACCCAAAAGCTGCAGGTCTCATCAACCGCTGCCTGCGGTATATAACTTGTGGCTGGTGGCCTCACAAATGGATCTCAGATGTAAATGTCATCAGAAGCCGATAGCAATAGAAACGAAGTCTGCAGCTTGCAGCTGCAGCGTTTGATTATGAATTAAATCCACCAGAACATCGCAGCAAAGGCAAATACTAAGGCGGCGGAGCGTCAACAAGGAAATTAAGCAAGCCGATAGGAATTTGACCTGGGCCCAGGTCAAGCACGTGGAAGTCTTTTACGTTGGCCCTGTGCACCTCTGGAGGTTCCCAGTTATTTGAGTACGACGACGATGGACGTTGCCCCTTGGAACGGAATGAAAGCGAACAAACCTGATGTTGCACAAAAAGCCGGCGGTTTTTTTTTTAGCAAAACAACAAAATCCTCTATCGCTCTCCTTTTTTTTTTTAATCTCTTACTATCCCCTAATCGGACGCTAGTGGGACCAAAAAGCCTGCTAGTGAAAGGAAAGTCATTATGCTATACGGTCTTGCATAGGCCACGACTAAATTTCCGTAGGTTCATGTCTGGCTTAAGTGCAGATCGGTAGGCAGCAGCAGGGTGCTACAGATGAACTAGCCAACGGCTAAAAATCTCTCTAATGAAATTATAAAAAAAGCCTGCCAGGGTGTGAACTGAGCAATAACAATAACAATATGGAAAAAAGGCAAAATGACAATGAACACAATGTTTGGTTTTTGCATAGTAATTTCCATATAAACTTCAAATGGTTTGTGCCAAGTCAGTTTCTTACGACATGAGTTTAAATTTTCAGAGGCTAATCAGGACCCGATTTGGAACCGCTTGAGCACTGTGGAGCGAAAATTTTATATTTTGTATCAGTCTATTGGACATCCTGGAAACTTTTGTGATTTCGTTTGATTATTATTATGATTTAATCAATTTAATCGATTTTGTCGTTTAAAACACTCAAACACCTTTTTACTCAGAACTTGGCTTTTGGCATATTAGCCATATCTTCATTAAATTAATGAGGTTTGAGGTATTATCTACAAGGTATGCAAAAAGTACTCAAAATTAAGTTTTAAAAATCTCAACGTTGGGTTCCATCATTTGAGGTCCGCCGGTGAGTGATTCAGAAAAGTGGCGTTGGTTAAAATTTACTCATCTATTGAGTAATAATAGATAAACTCAAATTTAAGTTTATTTTCTGTTAATCATTGTTAAGCTCAAAACGTAATATTTTTAATTATCAATTGATTTAGAACTCTCCGTATTTGTTTAATTGTTACATGTTTGTTAATTGTGTTGCGTAACATAATTAACGAAGAATATCTTTAAATGTTTTCAATACATTTTATTTAACTAAAACACGCTGCGATTCAATGTAAAACAGAACTCAATTTTCAGTTACTCAACCGTCATGTTTTCACTGTTGGGTACTTTTAACTTATTTTTGGCTGAAAATTATAGCAACCTGCGCTGCGGTCGATGCTGTCGTTTTGCATGGCTACGGAAAAAAATGGTGTTCAATATGTTATTATGAGACGGGAGAGAGTGTAATATAGACTCCCGCCAAATTCTATGATATTCAAAATGTTCTGAAAATAATTGAAAAACACAAAAAAAAAATGGTGATGATCCTCAAATTAATTGTTATTCTTATAACTTATGACTTATGAAAATAATGACACATTATTTTCAACGAAATTGGGATGATTTCAAGCTACTTTGTTGACTTACTTACTTCCTTAACGTTCTCATTTTCGAACAAATTTTATGAAATGACTATAGGGTGTCCAGAAATATTTCGTGTTTAACTCTAACTTTTTTATTTAAATTTTGTGTTGATCATCAAGACTCTAATTTTACAACAGCTATTTGAAGGAGCTTTTAAAGCAACAAAAAAAAAAAATACTGAAGGCTCCAAATGTCTAAAACTAAAGGCAAAAGCACAATTAATTTTGTCTTGCTAAACTCCCATCCCATTCTCCACTGTGTAGTGCTGATGGAAATTTGTTTTTGATTATTTTCCATAAATTCCTTGTTTCTTTACTTTGTGCAACTTTTTTACAATTGAGTCAAGAATTTAGTTCACTAAGGAGCAATTCGAATAAGACGTCCACTCTTGAGGGGAGGGGTTCCTAGAACTTGCAGCACGTGTAATAAGTACGGAAAAATGCGAAACACAGAGAGGGGAGGGTAAAAACTGAAAAACTTGTTGACGTCTTATTTTGATCGCCATTAATGGATAACAGCTACTCATTAATGGATAACAGTTACTTATTAATGGATAACAATTACTGATTAATAGTTAAACAATTTGCTCATTTTTTTTTCCTTGATTTGTTTTCCGTCGATCTTGTTTTCTGTACTGAGTACCAATGCTACCGACGCCAGGGAGGCAGCTTCCACACCTGGACCCTATATATCGACCAATCAGCTCATGGACCGAGGACCAACGGCTTTACTTCCTTTCCGAAGGAAGGCGTAATCGGAGATGTTATGCCTCAGAACATTGGGATGGGCGCCGACTGGGATTAAACCCAAGCCTTTTGAGGTGAGAGGCAATCACGCTTACCACTATACCACTGGCGCCGCTAATTAACTCATTAATGAGTGAAGCAACTTTTCTTCAAAGTTGGTATTGTTTTTACCCATTAATGGGTACTTTTAAGTTAGCGTGCACCCTAAGTTGAACAATCACATAACATATGTGGAACTCGATCATCAAAAATCGACCCCATTTCAGTAATTTAAAGTGGTATACATGGACATCGATCTGTCAAATTGATTATACCAGTTGTAAAATGAGAAAGGGGATCAAGGGGCTTGTCAATTCTTTTAAATAATTCTACCGTAGTTTATAATTCTATGCGTTCCTAGCAATCCTGAACTCATGTCTTACTATTTGCTCAACCTTATAATTATATAGCTTTATTTATAATTATATAGCTAACTTTAACAAATTCATCACCTTGATTCACACAGCAAAACTGTGGTAAACTTACAAGATACATGTATGTAACATTTCCTTCTTTGGACATTTTCTAATTTTTTGGAACCAATTGCATCAAACTTTGATTTCATTAGGTTTCGTAGGGGGAAAAACACGACCAAGTAAATTTGGAATTAAGTGCTTACATTTTGAAGTCCAGAGAGAAGCAGCACAATTTGGAACAAGAGTCAGAAGTCCCATATGAAAAATATGCATTGTTTTGAGCTGACTTTGCATTGTTTCATTCCCTAGAATTTTGCAAGCAGAACGATAAATGATATCGAGTGCTTATCAATACCTGCAATATACAAGATTTCAACTCTCCCTATGTTTCTCAATTGCCGTCAATTGAAAATTTCTTCAAAAAAAAAAAAACGTGGTAAGGTTGATCGAAAAGGCAAAGGTACACAATCAGAACAAGTTTGTTTGTCGACCACTATGGCTAAGGTCCCAGGGTGGGACTCCCAGCTAGATGTATCAATAATCGTTAATATGCATCAACTGGTTATTTCGTGCTGTAATCATAAGTTGACTCATTAAAAGCACAGTTAACAATATTTCAACATAACACAGACATAATGATAGTTTTACACATATTCAACGTAATCATCAAATCATCGAATTGTTTGCATTAAATTACATGCAATTAACATGATTTCCATAATGAATCCAATGCAAACCATAAAGATCGAAGAGACGAAGAAATATTGCATCTGTAAATAGGCAATATTACTGAATAACAACGCTCTTGATAGGCTTCTGACCGACTTGAAAATACTAGTTAAAAAATCCTTTGAGAAGCCCCCTGTCGAGCTAGTCGAAAAAAGAATGCCCATACGTCAAACTCCGTCAAGCATTTAAACAGCGGAGTAACAAAAGAGACGACAAATTATCTGGACCTCACCTGTTTACATCTCATTAGGCATTACCGTTACTATTGACAATTAGCCTCTTCGGTCACTCTGTAACTCTTCACTCCTATGGTAAAATATCGTGAAAGTAGGTGAACATTTCCTTACTCTTTCACTCATATGAAAATCCCATATAATTCTGTCAATCTTTGCGTGAAGAAACTGCGGTTTGCTAGAGGAATGAAGAGATAAGACAAAGTCCGCTAGATTTCATGCATAAATTGTCAGATGCTTATGGGATTTTACCAGTTTAATAGCTGCAGAGTAACCGTCAACGTCAATGCTTACATTCGTAAGGGCCAATGCTGCAAACGTAAACAATTACTTTTTGCGTGAATTTCTCGAAAATGAAAACTCACTCAAGAAAACCAACACCATGATTGTGTAGTGAAAGAGTCCTCCTATCCGATAAAGTTAGTGGCTTACTTGGAATGACTTTGACGTACGAGACATTTACGAAAGAAGCCATTATTTATGTTTTCGACATTGGTCCTTATGAATGCTCAGTGTCGATATCACGAAAAATTTATGTTGACAGATGTCCAACTATACCACTGAGGCAAAACAAAAAAGGGGTCAGCTTTAAGTCAGCTTTTTTCATGAAGTTCCACATATTTTATGTGTCAATAATGCTATTGCCTAATATAAAAAACGAGCCTCCCTTTGATAACCATCAGTATCGATCTTCTGATATTGAGGTTTGACTAGAAAATTTAAAGTATGTACAGAGCTTTTCAAATATGTACTAGAATACAAACTGAGCCAAGTTCCAGCATGCACATCTGAAATCATAATTTTGCCAAATTTCCATCATAATGAGTGCCACTTCGAAAACTTTCAAAAATTCCACTTATCGAAGCATAATTTTTGAAAATTTTGTTAAAGTTTTAGCCTTATTTAAGCCTATGTTAACAACCGATCAGTGAATGCTGGAAATAATGTAAAAAATACATTAGCATGGAGTGTGGAAACTGACATTTAAGTAAAAGTTGTTCAAATGATTATCAAAGTCTTGGAAAGCTAGCATAAAACATGCCATTTTTTGTGATTTGATGTGATTGTGATGTGATGTGATTTTGAAGATTGTTAAACAACCAACTCAAACACAGACAAACAGACGTAACTCTTTGAATAAGTTTTTCTTGAAAAAATTGTAGCTAATTGTGGCGACATCCCTCGAGCGTGTCATGGAAAAATTGCCGGACGATATGGTTAATTAATTTAAATAAATTAATTTTAACTTTGGTTGATTTGCATTCTACGGAAAGGAAAATTATACAAATTTTCTTCCGACGTTGGGTAAATTTTACCTATTCAAATCGATTGATCGTAATATTCACTCAATGGATTCTTGATCAGGATTACTCAAAATTGAGTTTTCGTCTTTTCACAGTCTTAGAGTAGTACCAATAGACTAAGTGAATCCAATCTTTACTTTTTTTATATTCGCGAAGCTTTTCCTGGGCAAACCTGGACATTAGACTGATGCAAATTTTGACCTTTTCAACAACATTTGAACTCCTTTGAAAAGAAACGGACTTGGCACAAACCATTTGAAGTTTATATGGAAATTACTATGGGAAAGCCAAACTTTTTGTTCAATGTCTTCTTACCTTTTTCCATATTGCACTGTTCAAAAATTCAAAAGCTATACCTATGGAAAATTTTCTCACCTACAACTTAGCAGAATATAGTTGTTGAGCTAAACGTCCAATAAAATAGTAATTAATTGTTTAAGAGATTGATAATCTTATGGCATGATCAAGCAGCTGTTTTGTGAGCAACACTGTATCTTGCAGTGTGACATAGTAGCCATGATTGTTGTCCTCTATTCTAAGCGCCAGAAACACCAATGTTGCCTGCTGAACAGCTGATTGAGCATAATCATAAGTTATTAGTTGCTTGAATTATTGATAACTTTTGATGCTTACATTATATTGAAAAGTTTTCTTGGACAAAGTTGTAGCGAAGAAAATTTGCTACGAGCTCAGTTATAATTTTTTAAAGCAGAGCGATATGGTAAATTGTTAGATGGGTATGAACAAAACATTTGGTTTTCCCATAGTAATTTCCATATAAACTTCAAATGGTTTGTGCCAAGTCAGTCTCTTATCGAATGCGTTCAAATTTTGGGAGGCTAGTCAGAACCTGATTGTGAACCGTATGAGCACTGTGGAGCGAAAATGTCAAAATTTGCATCAGTCTACTGGACATACATGAGGCAAATTTACTCATCGCTGAGTTCCTCCACTTTATGTGATTTATGAGTTAAATAAACTCAAATTTGGGTTGTTCTCATTCACAGCGTTGCTCGCTAAATCGCAAACAATGTTGCATGCAAGGTAAACAGAATATATAGAAACTTGAAAGTGATCCGATGCCAGCGCGGTGAGTAGTTCGTAGATATTTAAATCAGTCGTTAAATGCGTGAACGCTGATCTAGAAAGAAGTGATTCATTTGTTTGTCTATGAGAGCAGTTTTTGCTAGGCAGTTTAACACATCTTTAATATCAATATTACACATTTGTAACTACTACTAATTGATCGGTTATTTCTCTTTAATTTTTCAGGATTTTTAAGGAATTCCTCAAGCCGATCTGGAAAACGGTAAGCACACTTTTTCACTCTGATATATTATTCTAAAAACATGTAACCACTACTGGAAAGAGAATGTGTACCATTTATCGTAAACAATATTCGCCAAACACCCCATTCGCTTAAAAAAACAGTCATACACCGATCATCGCTATCACCTACCTCTGTCGTTGTCCTTGTTATCGCCGCAATTCTGTTCCAACGGCATCGAACAGTCCGGACCGTCCCATCCTTCATAGCAACGGCATTCCCACATCAGTTCCCCACTTACGTGACACTGGCCATGTTGAGAGCACCTGCAAAAAGAAAAAAAAAAGTTTCCACCATTAAACATCACACACCGCAACCCATGGCCCTTTGCCTTCGGGTTTGTCTTTAAATCTCATAAATATAAATCTCGCACTAATCATCTTACCCATTTGGACAACCCTCCAAGGTGCAGTGCTTTCCATTCCATCCGGTAACACACAGGCACGTTCCGTTCTTACACTGCCCATGCTCGTTGCACCTCGGATCGCACAGTTTACTGTTGCAAAACTCTCCTCCCCAGCTGGGATCGCAACTGCAGCTGTCGCCCACGCAACGCCCATGTTGGCCACAGTTCAGATCGCATAGTTCCTGCGAACAGTCCTCTCCACTCCACTTCGGCTCGCAGGTGCACGTCTGGCTGTCCAGATCGAACGACCCGTGGCCGGAACAGTCCGGTAGGCATTGCAACGCATCCTGATCCATGGTGGCACAGTCCGGTCCCTTCCAGCCCTTCTTGCAGATGCACGTACCCTCGGCACAGAATCCATGGCCCGAACAGGTTGGATGGGGACAGTCCACTGATGATGCGGAAAGAAAGCAAAAACCAACAAGAACAATGGTATAATCGTTAGTGCTCATGTTGCCCCGGTTGCATAACTATGGACTTTTTTTTCCGTTAGGGGTGTTGTGTTAGAGGTTAGGTTAGGTCAGTACTGGTGTGCCGTCCCTCGTAATCAAATTACTCTCTATGGGAAATGTGTTTGCGTTTGTGTGAGTGTCAATGCACCAAGTATGAGATGACAATAGAGTGTACAGCAAAGCGCCCAACGTGTGCTGCAATGTTAATCCCCTTTGGACGGCGGGGTTCTAAAAGAGTATAAAAAGTAGGAAAAACTGCAACCCCACCAGGCAGGCAGATAGGCGAGAGAGAGAGTGTCGGCGACCAAGTGGGAAAAATAGTTGTCAGAAGGATGAAAAACGAGGCTCAGAATCGAGAAGAAAATAAATAATAAATGTCTGAAAGTAGAGAAACTTGCTGTTATGTATAAAAAAAAACTTGGGTGGAAAACCGCAGTGCTCTCATTGCTCCTAGTTTGTAATTAATTTAAATTATTTATATCACATCTTGTTCGCCTCTCGGTTTTCACATAGCTCCTTACACTTGAGTTTCCGAACAACATAGCGAGTGAGCACTGTGAAACTATCGCGTTCGAAGTGATACAAAAAAATGAACATAAACCAGAAGAAGAAACGCCCACCCTCGATGGTGGTTTGGTTCTTAAACTGCAATTTGCGCAAATTAAAAATGCAAACCCCCGTCACAACTGGGAACGGAAAACAGTTTGAAATTTGGTGAGCTACCTTCTTCGCAGTATTTTCCCTTGTATCCTCTCACGCACGAGCACTTTCCGCTGACGCAGTGCCCATGGCCATTGCAGTCCGGAACCTCGCACTCGTCATGCCGCAGTGAGCACTCCTTGCCCTTCCAGCCGGGATTGCACTGACACTCGCCGTTGATGTATTCGCCACGTTGCGAACAAAGCACCGGACAGACGCCTGCAAGATATGCACAATGTTAAACACGTCACTTCCACTGTGTCAGAAGAAAACTTACTTTCGCTACAGTCATCTCCTCCGTAGCCTGGATTACATTGACAGTGTCCCAGCAGGCATTGGCCATTTCCAGAGCAACCGTTCGGGCAGTTTTGGGTCATGTCCTCGGCAACGAGCGCATAGAACGTAATCTCTTGGGCGTCTCCATCGTCGTTGTAGATCGACAGGAACCAGTGACCGGGTTCCATGTAGCGGGTCACTTCGCGGCGCATCGAAGGCTGCAACGGGATAAGACGGAATTTAGGTTATAACGAAAGGTAAAAATCGATACAACACCCCCCCCCCCAAGGAATCGAGATTGGTATTCACGATAACTGCTCTTTGTGCCACTACTTATACAGCAACTGCTAGCTCTGCGAAGGAATGTGTTTAGTGGCAAAGATATAAACTTCTGGGCGGTGGTGCATAAACACGCGATCGAGACACACGACGCTGATTAGGCTCCAGAGTTGTTTAAAATGAGGGATTTATGTTTTCCCTTTTACATGGCTGTTTGATGTAGCACACACGGTCGATAAACTCTACCTTCGCAGAAACGGTGAAATTCCTCCTCCATATGCTAACAGTGAGTCCTCACGGCAAGAAAACGATTATCTTGATACACGACGAATGGGGCGCACCCTTTCTCATCACTCAGAACGATAGTACCTACAGAGAGTATCAAAGCAGATTATATAATCTAGTTTTTCGCTTCGATTAATACACACACAGCCCGAAGGGGGCGAAAACCGATATTCTCCCCTCTTCTGGTGCGATCCGAAATCAATCAAAAAAGAAATCAATTACACAACAACTGAAATGTGTGTGTTTATCTTCATCCCATTCTCACTTTATCTATATTTTGAATCCCTAATTAATCAGTGCAATATCCTTAAGCCAAAGAGAAACGATCGACCGGCAGAGCGCTCGAGTGCTATCGACCGACATTTATATGACGTGCTGTTGCTGCCGGAAGATATCTACATGTAGGCGCAAGCAGACGCATTCAATCCGACCGACATACAGAGGGCTCTGATCCACCGCCCTTAGTGGGCTGGGTGGCGAGCGAGGGTGCCGCATAACTACGGGGCGCATATCGGAGAAGCGTAAGAGGAAAAGTGAAGGAAAATGCCGCCAGACGTTCAAGGGGGAAGATGATGCATCGGGATGATGATGTTTTAGAATGGATCAGTCTCACGGACAGACTGCCAGCCAATGCTTTGGAGAGTGGGAAAGTGAAAGGGGAAGCTTTGAGATTGAGACCAACATTGAAGTCTCGGCAGCTGCACCAGCCAGCACAACATACGGTGAGCGTGTGTTGGAAATCAATTTGTGGTGCCGGAGAGGATTTCCAAGCCGTCAGCGAGGTGTTTGCTCGGATTGGTGGGAATGTGAGGTATTAGTGAGAAGAGGGAATGCTTGGGAAGGGTTGCTGATAATAGTACTTATCTAATGATGATTGAGATGTTATTTCATCTGTTTTATTATGAATGCGGGGCAATACGAATTTAAGCGGAAGTGGAGATCATAAGATTGTAAGGAATTGAGGATAAGTTTTCAGAAATTTTAAACTTTTTATAAGCCCAAGAATCTTGCAGGTTAGGTTCTACTTTTCACCATTCAAATAACCAGTCAAAGGAGGAAAATCAGTTTTGCATTCATTTAGATTTTCAAAAATTCGGTGATTTTCCTGCATTTTTAAATTGATTTTCCACCATTTTACGTTCGAAAATGACTCTGCGGGTGAGTGAAATATTTTGAAGTCTCTGAACTTTATAATTTTTACCGATTTACCTACAGAAACATGAATTTAGTAATTTATCTCTTAATTTTCGATTAATTCCACTGCCTCAATTGCTTATCATTTACAAAATGCGTATTTAGATTACACGACCGATGAGAATAGCTCAACTTTAAGTTGAATTCGACTTAAAATTGCACGATTGTGGGCTTACTCTGTGTAAATTTTCCTATTTTTTCCTCTAGAATCTGCTCGAATATAAAGAAAATCGATGAAAATTTTACTCGGTATATGAGTAAATTACTCGTAAACGGAAGTAAATACTCATATAACAAGCTAAATGTTTATTTAAAAAAAATATGTTTGATTTGTTATCCAATAATACAGGGATATTGCATTTAATAGTTAATATTCATATTTTAGCTTTCAAAATCTTGCTTTTACTAGTGAAAATGCAATAATTTCCTTTAAACACATTACTAAGGTATTGGCTCTAGGATCCTCAGTACTTGTTTAAAAAAAATTATTTGAAAACCATTGATTGTTGTAAAAAATCAAGACCAACAATTGAAAAGGCCTCAACTCCAATTTGTCAACAAATCTCTTTTTTTCCTTGATTTGTTTTCCGTCGATCTTGTTTTCCGTACTGAGTACCAATGCTACCGACGCCAGGGAGGCAGCCCCCACATCTGGACCCTACCTATCGACCCATCTACTCATGGACCGGGGACCAACGGCGTGAGCAGAGATTTTTGCTTCAGACTGGGATTAAACCCAGGCCTTTTGGAGTGAGAGGCAATCACGCTTACCACTACACCACCGGCGCCGCTAATAAACAAACCTTGTAAGGTCATTTTCTCGCGAACTAAAGTCCGCCAAGGCAAACCAACAGAATGAACAGGTAGGGGAAATTTTCCTCTTCCCGATTGTGGTTTTGGTTTTGCTAATGGAGGTTTCGGATCGCGAGAAAATGGCCTTACAAGGTTTGTTTACAAAATTTAGTTTAGACCATTTCAATTGTTGGTCTTGAAATATTCAAAGCATACTTCGAAATCTATCAAAGTTACCCCGTTTTACGGTACGCCATTTTAAAATGAAAGCCGACAGTCAAAACGACCAAATTAGCATTAAATGATTACCCGTATTGAAGAATTATACAAAGTTTAATAGAAATCGAATTCGAAATTTGATCTATCGCTTTATACTAATTATAAAAAAAAACACCAATCTCGTTCCCAATAAAACTCTCGAAATCGCTACTTACATGTGTGGCCCTCGTCTGCCGGGCGTTGAATCCGCTGAGTACCTCCTTAAAATGGTACTGCGTGTGGGTTGGCAGGGCATTCCGCCGGGCATAGACGCCGATCGAGGCGCCCCGCGGGATCCCGTAGTCGAACTTGACGTACGCCGGTTCCGATTGGTAGAACTGCATGTTCCAGTAGCTGTACGGGGGAATTTCCTTCGACAGCCGCTGGCCGAGGGTGATCTGCGAGAAGGTGGTGCCATCGGGTGGGAAACTTCGTGCTGGGAATGTTCGTGCACCTGTTGTAGTTTTTGGGTTTCATTTTTTTTTGAGCGGGTTGGACACAAACACACAGACAGATACATAGAGGGTAGGGTAGTAGCAGCATCAGCACCGGAGCCAAAATCCACCCGGGGGTTGTGTAGTACAAGTTGTTCGGTTGGTTAGCAGGTGTGAGAAAAGAGAGAGAGAGAGAGAGAAGAGGCGTACAGAAAAGAAAAATAAATGCTAAGTTAGTACACGCATAAGAGCATTTCGGAGTAGCTGGCTTTAATGCCTCGAAAGTGGATGAACGCTGTGTGAATATTAATTAATATGTATTTCTAGGCTAAAAGTTTAGGCGAGTGAAGAAGCAAGTCAGAGCGGCATGCAAAGCATTTTTCCACACACCATCAGGGTGAGTTTTCTCAGCAGGCTATGTACACTTTGATGGAGGGATGACAGAGGAGCAAAGGAGAAAAAAAAAGATGGTGGAACGTGTTAGCTTGCTGCGGTGAAAAGTGTGGAATGTCGAGCTCGGAGATGCGATTTCAGGTTAGCAGCGCGTCAAGTGGATCCTTGGGAATTTTGTTTTTTTTTGTCGATATCATCGCTCTCACTTGGTGGATGTCACCAGCTCTTTATATGTACACTTGGTCGTCTTCGTCGTTGCTGAGGATGACTTTCAACTTTGTTTTCTGTACAAGTCTCACCTTCTAGGATAAGAATCGGCACTTCCGGGCATTGCAGTGGCATTCCAAATTCGGTTGTCGTAGACGCGGCTGTTGACGAAGGCTCGTCTTCGGTGACACTGCTGCTGCTGCTGCTACTATCATCGGTGGGCTCAATTTCGCTTTCAACCGTTGTTCTTGTTGTTGATATCGTCGTTGTTATGCTATCAAGGTCTGCTGCTTCCGAGCTTGATACCACATCCTCGGTGGAAACGCTTTCATCTTCGATCACACTTACCACGTGATACTTTTCAAACAGTGACGAATTTGGGCATTTGATAGGACACGGTGGAGCTGGTGGTGGTTCAAGGGGACATGAATGGTGAGTATTCTCCGCTTTTTCTTCCGATTCTTCAGATTTTGCTTTCGGAACATTTTCCGAAGGTGTTGGAATCGATACTTGTAGGACATATACGGAATGTTGCACGGTTCCAGTTCCGTGATCCGTTGCTATGGATATGTTAACGAGTAGACGTGGAAAAGAAGCACCTTCTTTGCTCTCTTCACTAGTTGCATTAGCTTCCTGAACCATGTAAATTGGAACCTGTGGAGTCACAGTAACTGGGATGGCTTCCACTATGTTTCGATACGTTGGTTGTTGATCTATCTCATTAGCAGGAGGAAGGGTGTGAATTTCCACCTTTTCCTCGTCTCCGGCGTTTTTTTCCTGGATGTTTTTGTAGTAAAGCTTGCTTCTTGATTTTCTCATCTCTTCACCACTAATGGGTCCATCTTCAAGGCTGATGAGCTCGACGTCCACCGCATCGTCCATCGCACCCAAATGTTCGTAGTGAGCTGAAGGATCATCATTTGGCAATTTTTCTTCCTCAACGTAACCAAGCTTGATGCTGTCGTCTATCGGAATATTGTCCATAGGGGACGGTGCGTCCTCATCTTCTGCTTGCTCTCCTGAGTTCATACTTAATTCCACATCAAATGAATTATTTGTGATTAAATCAGGATCACTGTTAGTTGTAACATATGTTATGTCATTATCATTAGTGGTAAAAATTTCACCATCCCTTTCTCGGCTCTCGGAACCGTTGTCGTAATCAGATGAGATGCTCGTCGAGGCAGTTGATTGGAAATTCTGCTCCTCCTTCTCGCCATAGTTGACGTCGACGACGTAGTCACCGTCGACGTCGTTGTAAGCAGTTGGCTGTTGCTCGTTTGACTCCGGTGGCACACCGGAAGCGGAAGATAACGGTAATGATTGTGATTGTGATAGAACGGAAGGTGGATAGGAAGTCAAAGTTGTAGGAACAAACAAAGCGGAAACAATAGGAACATCGTGCTCTGAGGTGTGGGGGAGAGAAGTGGATCTTGCTGTTTCATCACCATCACCACCACCACCGTCGCCGTAGTCAGTGGTGACGATGGGTGAACTAGCACCATTATCCGTAAAACCATCACCGGTACTGGTAGTAGTAATAGTAGTAGAAATTACGCTAGTGCCATGCAAAACTAAATTATCAAAATTATCAGCACGCCTGTCGGCAGTCATTTGCGGTTGTGACATCTTGGCGTCAATCCCGCCATCATCAAGGTTAGAAACACTTCTACGTGATCTACTGTGGAAACTAGGGTTATTGCTGTTGTTGATTACTGTACCTCCGTTATTGTTGTTGCTGTTTGCATTGCTATTGCTATTGCTATTGCTGTTGGCCGACGCGGTTGACACCGCTGACGCAGATGCGGATGCGGTAGCGGAACTATGCGAGGGCGAATCAGCCGCACTGCCCCCGCTACTACTTCCGCTGCCGGACGGTTTGGGCCGTCCGGGAACCGTTCCGGTGCTAACAGGACCCGCTGCCCGGTTCACGTCCGCTATCGTACTTTTGGCTGCAGAGATTTCTGCCTTTTCATCGACTAGAACTGTACAGGGATTGGTGGTTGGATATGATATACTTAATACGTTAGATGCTGCGAATGATAATAGAATTGAGATTAATTAGGTTGCTTTCCTGCGGCTCGAGTAGGAGATAGCTGCGAGCAAAGATAGAGAGATGCCGTGCTGCATATGGAACCGATAGTATCACGGATAGTAGACGGCACCGCGGTGGATTCAGAGCACAAAACCGCACAAGTGCGAAAACCACGCACCACACACAGCAGGCTGTGTGGTTGTGTTATGTGCCGCGGTGTAAGTGTCTGACAGTGATTGATGGATCTGCGTTGGATTCTGCCGGGAAATGCGATGACATTTGTTACATCGATGATAAGGATATTCCTCCTTTTTTCGTTCACTGATATTCGGTAAATAGCGAACAGGGGGAAAAAAAATTGGCACACGATAGATGGCCTCATTTCAATGGGATTAATCTACGAGCCATGGTCTTTAATTTTGGCTTAAAGCCGGATTGGAACGGCCCCTCGAACCGAACCATATGGGAGTAATGAGTCGTTAAATAGAATAAATCCTTGCCTTTGCGTTCCCCTACGCTTTCACTCGGGTTTTAATGGTCACTTGAAATTGGAAGCTTCTAATTTCTAGCACGGTAGCGCATTCGGTGCGAGTTTCCATTTACCATAAAGCAAATTGAGTGATTAAAAATCACCGAAAATTGCTCCCCTCAGATTACGGTTGACGCCCAAATGTTGCTGCAAGGGCAGACACAACGACGTCAACGTCGGCGAGGGCCTTTTAATGACATGATATAGAATTTCGAACGTATTCTGTGGACAAAATTGTGCCAGCAGCGGAAGCCAGAACACGCGGTCACTTACAAAAACGAAGAGGCACGAATGAAGAGAGAAAGACCGATGTGTGCAAAATTAGCTTTTGTCCGCTTGTTTCGGATCTACCGGAATCCCCTCCCATTCCTGTCCTGGTCCTGTTGGGTTTCCCTTGCATGACAACGACCATCGTCATTCGGACAGCGGGGTTATCAAAAAGTTAATGGCATACAGCAGCGAGCGTTTGGACTGCTGGTCCTAGTAGGCCACGCGCATTCGATTCTCCGCTGTAGCGTTGGTAACCACCTCAGCACAGTTGGCTTTGGTCAAAGATTTTTACGAGTATGCGTTGTATTTATGATGCAGTTATTTCGTAACAAAAAAATAAGCCTATCCCAGGCCTATCGGTGCTCACGGTGCGGCATCTCTGTAATTATGCTATTAAATTTGAATAAAGGCTAATAATTACCTGTTAATAATAATGTTATAACAAGTATAACACATAATAATACAACTAGTATAGCCGTACACTTCCATGTACATTTGGTGAAGGTGAAGCCTTTGCGAAAGTTCATCGGCGCGGAGTAGTGGTGCGACGGGGGACCACACATGGCGCTCCGGGGTGGCAGTACCGGACCCATGCAGTTGCGGTCGTAGCTCTTGAGCGTGTCCTTCGTCGGGGATGAACAGGCCGAGCCCGTTTTGTAGTCTATCGGTGATCCTTTGTTATTAATTGCTGCAATTAGGAACGAAAAGAGAGAAGGTAAATTTCGGGGATGAGTTAACATAATCTTTACGCGCGCGAGAGAGACAGAGAGTAGGCAGAGAATGGAGGAAATTTCAAAATTTAAAAGCTACATTAGCCTTGCGAAGACTATAATTTGGAATTCCATCGCAATTTAGTAAATTGAATGAATACGTAATGATACCCTTGGCGAGCAGAGCGTTGTTTTTCTCTGCGTTTACCACGAAATAGCAACTTGTTTCTGCCGTCGATGCTTAGGAGGCGGGAAAATCAATTAACATAAATATCAATCGTTTGAGTTCAAAACATCAAAAACAACATCTTTATCAAAATTTATTTTCTCACACGTGGTTCGCTGCTGGTTGGGTCGATTTGCAAAATAAACACATTAAGCGCCATTTGGATCAACAGATCTTTAGCTTTAATGTGTGTGACACGTGCTTGAGCTAAATCCTGGCACGCGCAGGCTCTTTGTCTCCCACCCTTGTGCTTGTAGTGCTTGTATTGACGCAATGACGATGCTTGTTTTTTCTTTCTACTGTTTTGTGGTGGCACACTGTTTGCAGGGAACATCCAAGGAGGCTTGTTTTTTGAAGTTTCGACAGCTTCGATATTGATCATCTTCCAGAGAGATTACATCCAGGCAGGCTTGCATGTACATTAAACTTTAATCGCAAAGCGAAGCCTACTTAATATTCATTACAGCTTTCTGCGATGCGCTGCTTGTTCTCACAGTTGCCTTTAGGTTAAATGCCAGAGGAATTTAGATCCACTTGTCTGTGTTCATTACTACTTAGTGCGATGTTTGTTTACTCCAAGATTGCAGCCCGGCGATAATGTGTACAATTAAAGAAACGATTATTAATATTCTATTTGTGGAAGGTTATAACACTTAAGCTTTAGTGTTTGGTCGTTTCGGGGCGGCGGCCATTTTTCGGAACAAAACAACGCCGAAACTGAGACGGCGAAATGACAACGAAAATGAGAGCGATCGTTAAATGGTTGTTTTAAAGCCGATGTCGTTGGCCGGAGAGCTCCTTAATTTTGCAATTATCTCATAATGGGTTCTCTCGGCAGCGTGGTGGTGTCCGCTCGGTGTTGGCTTGGGGTAGGTATATTGGAGGTGTGCAAAGGTGTTGAAATGGTTTAACGAACGTGGTGGGCGGAGATGCCATAATAGTAATGTGTTTGCTTGTCATATAGATCAGGACAACGACTAGGGGTGGTCCCATGGCCGGGGTGTAAATGCTGTTCCACCAAGACGTCAAAGGGGTATAATTAATAAGTCTCTTGACCGACAGAGGGAGACAAACATGGCACTGTGCTGTTCCGCCGTTGTCACTCGAACCGGTGGGGACATCTATCTTGTTCCGAAAGGTATGACAACGGCAGCCGAGTGTTGTGCAGCATCCGGCTGTGTAGAACATCTGTTTCGATTGTTGTGTCAAAGAGTAGGGCACATCGTTTAATCAAATTTATGGCAAGCAATTGATATAAAATACCTCCAACAGCGGTGACAGCTTTACGATATGGTAAAAGCTACACAAACAAGCACGGAATTAAACCATATAATTACAAAGCAGTTCTTGCTGAGTGACACCAAGAAATATGGCGTCGTCTGCACGTCGCGGCTTACCACATCAAGGCGTGCTGCGCTCGATGTTTCAGAATATTTCGGGGGTAAGCTCACACAATACCGGAACAAGCTCAGAACCTTTCAATCCACGCCAAGAGCATCGACTCAATGCGAGACCCCGAGGATGAATGTGCCACGCGAATAAAGAATGTTGGCAAATTTATTACCCGTTGGCAAACTCCGGGAAATCGACATCGGTGGCGCTTCCGACGCAGGCAATCGAGAAAAACGAGGCAGCAGGAAACAGGAAGGCACGAGAAAAACGTTACAAATTTATTACCCCCACCCCTGCAGACGGTGACGGTCCTGGTCTGGCTTTCCCTCAAACATTCAGAACTTGTGTTGGTTTTGCTGTTGTTGTTGTTGTTGTTGTTGTGAAAACACTCAACAGATGTCAGCACCGCAACCGACTTGGACTGCGATGGAATTGTTCCATCCGTCTCGTAACCTCTGTAGAACTGACTGAAATCACGCACGGGACTCCCACCCACGGGTATTAGGGTGTGACGCCATCTACCCGACTCGACTGGGAGAAAGAAAAAAAAAATCATTTTCTTGATTTGATTTTTCCTCATTCTTCAAACATTCTGCTTAGTCCGCTCTTGCTGCTAGTCGTAGGATAATCAAGATAAGAATTCCAATATGCAGCACCGTTTTTGCTTTTCTTTCTTATTTGCCAGAAACTGTGATTGCGCCGTGCTGATAAGCGGTGAAGATCGACCCGCGTGATGCATAAAAAAAGGATATTGAGAAGGAAGAAACCATCGTCGTCGTCGTCGTCGTTTTCCTCGTCTCTGGATGCTAAGCCGGAATTGATTTGTGCTGGGTACTGACAGCAGTACGAAAAAGAAAACAGCAAAGGTCATCAAAGTAGGTGGAGCGACGCCATCTTTGTGTACATTCCGGGCTCTGAATTTCATGGCCTACTAAAAGCGAATTCAGTGCCGGAAGCAGAGCATTCGAAGTGATCGATTGGGTGCGCGTGCGGATGCCTACCATCGGGCTTAATTAGACTGTGGCACCCAGAAGGAATCACTTATACGTGGCCCCCAAAGACGGGGTCGTAAAGAAAATCTACACTTCAATTTTCCTAATTGCGTGCGGTGGGGAGACCACCAGCTGGCATCGTAAAAAGGATAAATACTCCCGGGGCCAACCACCGAAATCGAACACACAAACGAAGAAGAAGCATTTAAATTAATTCAAATTATCAATAGACACGGAATATTTGCATTACCCTTGCTGCGAATCGGTAGGCAAGGGGCTTAAGGTGAGAAAATTGATATCCTAGTAAGCGCCCCCTGTAAATAGGCACCGTTTTTCTGGGAGTTTGCGTTGAAATTGAGTGTCAAACGGATCGAGTCCGTGTTGCCAGCGACACTGATTTATCGATTAGATTGTAGTTGATTCAAACAAACAAAGCCCCCAGTCATTAGCGATAACTTTTTCCTTTGGGAAAAAGGGGTATTCGTTGAATGCCTTTTGACACGAAATTTTCTTCTCTTTTACCCCAGGAAAGTTTACTTTGATGAATGGAAAATTAATTAAAATTAGCTCTCGTCTCGGCAGATCATCATGCTTGCCGTTGGGAAGTCTGCCTTCAAACACATCCGAAAATTGACTTTGTGTTTCTCCAGGGTCGATACCTTCTCCCATCCAGTTCGGACGGTATTGTTGTTTTTCAATTATGAATTCAAAATATCATGTAATCAATCTCACTTGACTCCTTCGGGGCACCTAGAACTGCCTTTCCCGAGGCCAGCAGCTCGGTTCTCGTTTTAAACTGCCACTTTCGAAGAGTCATGCTATTTAATGTGTCTTAATTGAAAATTTCTTGTGGCTCATCCTTCATTAGCAGAGCACAGCTCACGAACAACAAACCAACCATCGGAGTGTATCAAATTTTCACTTAACTTTTTGATGCTTAACCACATCAGACACATTCTGATTCACTCGCTCGCTTGCTGTACTGTTTACCTACATGGGAATTGGTCCTAATTATAGCCAGGAAAGGTCCCCTTTCTTCCGATACACTATTGTCTTTTATCTTAGTAGGCGGCGGTTGTTGTGGGTGCCATATTGGGACATAGTTGCACCGGAGCGGGTTGCTCGACTTTATCGTCTGATTTGCTACTAATTAATCATACTTTAATGTTTATCCAGCACTTGGGATCGGGGACGTCTTTTGTTTGACGACGTCGTCGTCATCGTCTGGAATGAAGTTCTCTTTCTATGTTGCCTGCAGTGCTGCGAAGGGTGGCATGGAGGATAATAATGATGGTCTGGTACGCTTCCGATAAGGATCTGCCTTTCTAGGATTTGAAAGCGGCCGCACTCTAACAATTCATTACTGCTGCCCTGCCGTTTTGGGTTAGGGTGGATACAGGGGCCTTTTTCTCGGAACACTGACAGCTCAGTAGGCCTTTGGCTTCGGTTTGGCTATAAATCCCACGTGGCTACTTGGATCGGGCCGGGTGACCAGCTACCGAAATTATGTCTACACAAAGGGGACTAACCCTTTTTTGCTTCTCAAAGATTGCCAAAAAAAAAAGGAAAACAGCCTTGTTATTGTTAGTTTGAATTTAATTTGCCTACACGCACCGCACAGACACATGTGCGTGGTCGAGCGGAAGGATGCCATTTATCACTCGGTTTCCATACGTGGCAAGGGTTGAAACAGCGAAAGGATTTCTCGGCTCGCAAAATATCAATTAATTTTGTTTTGGATGCATTTTAAATGGAAACTGATCCAGCAGTGGCTTGGACGAGCAAGTGTGGTGCACGTGTCACGCGTGGTATGAATTAATTTCGGATAGATTTAATCCGCTAATAGATGAAAACGAGCGTGTGGGAGACGGGTAGGTGCTGGTGTTTGGGAAAGTTGGAAACTTTTTCGTCGGAAAAAATGTCTTTCGGATTTTTGAACATTGGTCTAACCAAATTGACATCGATAGCTGAATAACAGCTTAAGCAGGCAAAAATTGGCTTATGCAAATGTTTGATGGGTAAGAAATAAGACAAGGCCAGGTGAAAAATTACTGCGATTGATTAAGGAAAATAACAGTTCTTACAGGGTGTCTACTCATTTTGCTAAATAAAATTCCCTAAGTTTTTTTTCCAGGTTTTTGAAGATTTTTTTAATAAACTTTGAGAAAATATACTATTTTGGGTTTTTACTTATTGTGCATGCAACTGAAAGCTGATGCGACATTTCTGCTGGTAAAATTTGAATTTCCTATGTCCCAGTGAAGATTTTGAAGCTGGAAGTCTCAAGACAGACACACGGATTTCAGTTTAGTGGAGGCGTGATAGTAACATAAATATCATAGACAGTTAAAACAACAGATTTGGTCTA